CAGACAATTACGAGGGAACCTCATACTTACTTTCCGTAATATGAAGAACCTGGATTGTTTCTTTGTCCCCAACGGTATCTTTATCCAGGCTAGTACGCCACCCTTGCGCGGTCACCTCCTTAAACTACACCCCGGCAAAACAAGGAGCAATGGACGAAAATTCTTCTTCAGCAACAGAGTAGCTGCATCATAGAAGGCCCTTCCCGAAAACTTTTTCCTCTCCACCTGTGTTAATTCATGCAAGAGCAAACTTGGCATGCACAAAACACATCACTTTACATCCACGAGGAAGACAAAGAATCTACATTACATCACGCTACTCGCCATAAGTGAGTAGTCATTGTTTATTACTATTTAGAATACACAACAACTGTTGTGTCTTCCCTGCAGCATGTAATTGACATACTTTTTTGAATTTCCTTTGTATCCATATGCTTCCTTTCATCTCGTTACCAACAGGGAATTTAAAGGCGTTCGCCTATCTTTCCTTCAATAAACTGATATTCATACTAAATGCGCGTAAATGTAGGCCATCCCCAACCAAGTCATTACATTCTCATAAAAGTCAGCTAATGCTTCAGGTTGAACAGTGGATGATGAGCTCCGCAGAGAAGAACAAACTGTCCTCTTCTTTCAGCGTGATGTCACGCCAGGGGGAAGGACAAGCGGCTGAGGTAACTTTCTGCTACAGAATGGCAAATAGAAAGAGGTCACGAGATCACATAGAACTTTATGAGCGACTTGCTGAGATGTCTTTTAAAGCTTCAGCAGTCAATCCCCTACTTGATAAATTATTCCTTTTCGGAAAGGATTCTGCTCTCAACAGGTTGTCGGTCTTAGGTTTCGATGCAGATCTGCAGATGGAAGAACGAGTCGCTGATATGCAGGAACGTTGGTCAGGCACCTATACTGTCCTGGACGGTAAGTTGCCTGACATTTGCACATCCTGCATCCTTCTGTGTTACCCATTTGAACGTTTTCATGTCGTTTTTGTTTTTTGGCAGAAATGGCCAAGCGTCAGTACAACTGCCATGGCATAATGTCTAGGCGTTCATTGGTGTTGTCCAGTTTTCTTAAAGACCAACTCATTTGGCATGAATTCGGTCGATGCTGCCAGACAGTCATACAGCAGAAGATTAATTTTTCCACCCTTTTGATCCATCTTTTTTGGCAGCTTTAATTATGCTAAAAATTGGATTCTCAGGTGGTAACCGAGAAGAGGGAGGAGCGTTCATCGAGAGAGGTTTATTATAAACTAGACGTTTCGGGTAGTTGTCTCGTCTACCCATCTTCAGATAATGGAAACTCTGTCTCAAGGTCTTCCTCTTTATGCACCTCTTTCTTCCATGTGCATGTTCTACCGATCCAGAATGAGTCACTGTGTGTCTCTTACGACTCACCTTCGGCCTCTTCGTTTACCCTGTCTGTCACCATATCGAGTGTGATGGTGTGTTGGTTTTATAAACCTTATCCGGGGACAGACACGGCATGGAACAGCTGGGGCCGTCAACCAGCACCGCGGCTAACGTGTGCATGCCGGAAACAAGTCGGGACGCGACAGGGGCCTACGAAACGAACGCACATGAGAGCAACACTAACATACGCGGCAAGGCGACAGACAGGGTAA